TTAGTTAGTTGGTTGTTACCTCTGCTCTGGAGCTCGGAGGTGAGTTGTCTCTCCAGACTTTCTCTCATTTCTCTTTCTCTGAACAGTTCCATCTTCAGTTCTCGTTTCTCGGCCTGGATCTGTTTGTCCTGAGCTCGAGCGTTTTCCACGGCCACTTTCAACAAACCCTGAACCACAAAGTCCACAAGAGGGTAAAACGGTAAGAAAATACACAAAAAATACACAAAATATTTTTCAAAGTACTGTGTTTCCATTCACACGTTTGAGTAACACTTTATTATTAATCTGTCTAAATCTGTGTATCAGTCGTTCATTCGTTTTTCAAAATAAAACGAAAAATAAGAAAACGAAAAAACAACGATTTTCTTCATTATTTGTCTCCAAAACTAAAATGAAAAAAAAAAAAAAAAAAAAAAAAACAGATAATGATTTGTTTTTTCAGTTTTCGATTTTGTGTTTAAATGAAAAATGTAAAAAAAAAAAAAGGATAACGGACGTTTCCCGTTTACGTGACTTAAATTGCGAAGTCGGACTGAACCAGGACTGATCCAGGTCCGGAACCAGACCAGGACTGAGACCGGGACCAGACCAAGACTGAGACCGAGACCAAGTTGGGACCAGACTGGGACCAGACCGGGACTGAGACTGGGACCAGACCGAGACCAGACCAAGACTGAGACCGGGACCAGACCGAGACTGAGGGACTAGAGACCAGAGACTAGAGACCAGAGTGAGACTGAGACCGAGACCGAGACCAAGCCGGGACCAGACCGGGACCAGACTAAGACTGAGACCAGAGCGGAACCAGGCCGGGACCAGACCGAAGGCTCAGAGCCCACGGCAGCCTGGAGCTCAAAGCTGAGGCTCTGGTCCCGCCCTGGTCCCGCCCTGGTCCCGGTCTCAGTCCTGGTCTGGTCCCGATCTGGTCCCGGTCTAGTCTCGGTCTCAGTCCCACTCTGGTCGTGGTTCAGTCCGTACGCACTGCAAAAATCCCACATCGCCGTCACAAAAGTCACATGAACGGGAAACGGCCGTTATCTGTTTTTTCATTTTGGTTTTGGAGAGAAATAATGAAGAAAATATTTGTTTTTACATTTTCTTATTTTTGGTTTTATTCTGAAAAATGAATGAATGAACGACACACAGATTTGTCTACGTCTCCAACATCTACAGCTTTGTGAGTTAAACGTGTGAATGAAACAAAACACAACTCCAGTGTTTGTGTTTGTGATGAGAACATCAGAAAACAGCGTCACGTTTAATTCATTTATTTGTTTTGTTGTTTTTTACCTGTATGTTCGTGAGTAAAGTTTCCACAGACGAGAGTCCGTCAGCGAAGAGAAACGGAGCAGGAAAACCAGGAGGAAGAGTCTGACCCAGAGACAACTCCTCTGAAAAACACAAAACAAAAATACAACATGAAACAGTAAACTCACAATCACAAAATCAGACTCTAAACCAAAACGAGTTTCAGCAGAGTTTAAGTGTGGTTTTGAGCAGGTTTTTAGCGTGGGTTAAGGGTGGGTTTAAGGGTGGGTTTAAGGGGGTTTAGGGTGGGTTTAAGGGTAAGGGTTTAAGGGTGGGTTTAAGGGTGGGTTAAGGGTGGGTTTAAGGGTGGGTTTAAGGGTGGGTTTAAGGGGGGTTTAAGGGGGGGGGTGGGTTTAAGGGTGGGTTTCTGCGACGTGCGTATCGAGGCTCGCTTCATTTTGGGGGAGGACGTCCAAAGCCTCGGTGCCCGGCTCTGCCACGTGACCGATTCAGGAAGTGGTTCGGATTTTGTTGCGATTTCCATTTTCATCATTTCTAAATAATGATTTTTCATACTGTCAGTACATAGAAACACAGTTCACTGCATCACGACAATAAACAGGTTTGGCATCCTTCTTTATTTTGCTGACAGTTTTATTCACAGGCAAAATGCCACACACTTCAACTGATATTTTTGTGTCCAGTAGATGTCGGCCCAGACCTTTAATCTGGCCCTCAGCTGATTTTCTACTCAAATATTTTAATTATATTTTCTATTAAAATCTTGTTAATTTTGTGTGGTGTTTATCACAGCAGCGTCTCCAGCGTCTCTGTACGTGGCCCCTCCCACCAGAGCAGCACAAATGAAGACTTGTCTCTTTCCAAACGCTCTTAAAGGACGATCGTTTTGACTGTTGACCGTGACACCCTCATCAGAAAAATGTCCAACATGAGAAAAGTGGAGCCGAGTGCAGGATTTTACAACAAAAAATGGACTTATTCCTGTTTACAGACAAGTTCATGTTAAAACTTTGTGTTGAAATTGTATTTTTCTTAAAGTTTCAGGTTGTTCATAATATTATAATATTTTGTAAAAGAAAGAGTTCATCAATTAAAAAAGATTTCTGTAATAGATTTGTGTTTCTCTGCACAAATATTTGAACTTATTGTTATTTTTGGGGTTTATATGACATGAGTTTTCTGATCCGGACACTTTGGATCAAAGTCGGTTGGACACGACCCCGGAAACAAAACGAGTTTGACTCTCCTGGATTAGAGCAAATGAAGCTTCAAGAAGCTTTGTGCTGGACTGAACCAACTGGATGAAAGTTCAATGCTTCATGAAGCTTCATCTGCCCGTCACTAGTTTTTAGCATGAGTCGGTGGTCGGTGTGGTTTAGGTTCTCGGCTCTTGTTTCGGTTCTCGGCTTTGGTTTTGTTTCGGTTTGGTCTCGGCTTTGGTTCGGCTCGGTTTGGTCTCGGGTCTCGGGTCTGGTCTCGGCTCTGGTTTTGGTCTCGGCTCTTGGTCTTCGGCTCTCTGGTCTCGGCTCTCAGGCTCTCGGTTTTGGTCTCGGTTGGTTGGTTCGTTCTCGGCTCTCTGGTCTCGGTCTCTGGTTTCGGTCTCGGCTCTCTGGGTCTCACTCTGGTCTCTGGCTCTGGTCTCTGGTCTGGTCTCTGGTCTGGTCTCGGTCTCTGGTCTCTGGTCTCTGGTCTCTGGTCTCTGGTCTCTGGTCTCGGTCTGGTCTCTCTCGGCTCCTGGTCTCTGGTCTGGTCTGGTCTCTGGTCTCGGTCTCTCTGGTCTCTGGTCTCTGGTCTCGGTCTCTGGTCTCTGGTCTCTGGTCTCTGGTCTCTGGTCTCTGGTCTCTGGTCTCTGGTCTCTGGGTCTCGGGTCTGGTCTCTGGTCTCTGGTCTCTGGTCTTGGTCTGGTCTCTGGTCTGGTCTGGTCTCTGGTCTCTGGTCTGGTCTCTGGTCTTGGGCTCTGGTCTCTGGTCTCTGGTCTCTGGTCTCTGGTCTCGGTCTGGGTCTCTGGTCTCTGGTCTCTGGTCTCGGTCTCTGGTCTCGGTCTCGGTCTCGTCTGGTTCTGGTCTGGTCTCTGGTCTGGTCTCTGGTCTCTGGTCTCTGGTCTCTGGTCTCTGTCTGGTCTCTGGTCTCTGGTCTCTGGTCTCTGGTCTCTGGTCTCTCTCTGGTCTGGGTCTGGTCTCTGGTCTCGGTCGGTCTGGTCTCTGGTCTCTGGTCTCTGGTCTCTGGTCTGGTCTCTCTCGGTCTGGTCTGGTCTCGGTCTCGGCTCTGGTCTCGGTCTCTGGTCTCTGGTCTCTGGTCTCTGGTCTCGGTCTCTGGTCTCTGGTCTCTGGGTCTCTCTGGTCTCTCGGTCTCTGGTCTCTGGTCTCGGTCTCGGTCTCTGGTCTCGGGTCTCGGTCTGGTCTCTGGTCTGGTCTCTGGTCTCGTCTGGTCTCGGGTCTCGGGTCTGGTCTGGTCTCGGTCTTGACTCTGGTCTCTCTGGTCTTGGGTCTCGGGTCTGGTCTGGTCTCGGTCTCTGGTCTCTGGTCTCTGGTCTCTGGTCTGTCTGGTCTTGGTCTCTGGGGTCTGGTCTCTTGGTCTGGTCTCGGTCTTGGGGGCTCTCGGTCTCTCTGGTCTCTGGTCTCTCTGGTCTCTGGTCTCTGGTCTCTGGTCTCTGGTCTCTGGTCTCTGGTCTCTGGTCTCTGGTCTCTGGTCTCTGGTCTCTGGTCTGGTCTCGGCTCTGGTCTCGGCTCTGGTCTCGGTCTTGGGTCTGGTCTCGGTCTCGGCTCTGGTCTCGGTCTTTTGGACTCGGTCGCAGGTGCAGAGGAAACAGTGGATCTTTGAGCTCGACTTCGTTAGTATTAAAGTCTCGATGTGACGACTTAATGAGACGGATTAAAGAGCAGAACGTCTCCTCCTCCTCTTCATCCCTCCATCTCTCTCTTCTTCATCCCTCCATCTCTCTTTTCTTCATCTCTCCATCTCTATCTCGCTCTCCCTCTCTCCTCTTTCCCTCTTCTCCTCTATCTGTTTATCTCTTACTCTCTCTCCTCTCGTTCCCTTTCCTCTCCCTCTATGTTTTTGTCTTTCTTTTTTCCACCTTTCTCTTCTTCCTTTCTCTTCTCCTCTCTCCTCTCTCTGTTCTTTCTCTCTCTCTTTCTTTTTTTCTGTCACTGTCTCCTCCCTCTCTCCTTCTCTCCTCCCTCTCCCTTCTCTCCTTAACCTTCATCCTCTCCTCTTTCTCTCTCCTCTCTCTCTCCCCTCCCTCTTTTCTCTCCTTCTCTCTCTCCCTCCCTCTCTCTCCTCTCTCTTCTTCTCTCCTTTTCTCTCTCTCTTTCTCTCTCCCTCTCTCTCCTTCTCTCTCTCTCCTCTCCTCTCTCTTCTCCCTCTCTCCTCTCTTCCTTCTCTCTCTCTTCTCTTCTCTCTTCTCTCTCTCCTCTCTCTCCTCTCTCTCTCTCTTCTTTCTCTCTCCTCTCTCTCTCTCTCTTTCCTCTCTCTCTCTCTCTCCTTCTCTCTCTCCTCTCTCTCCTCTCTTTCCTCTCTCTCTCTCCTCTCTCTCTCTCTCCTCTCTTTCCTTCTCTCTCTCTCTCCTCTCTTTCCTTCTCTCTCTCTCCTCTCTCTCTCTCTCTCTCTCTCTCTCTCTCTCTTCTCTCTCTCTCTCTCTCCTCTCTCTCTCTTTCTCTCTCTCTCTCTCTCTCTTCTCTCTCTCTCTCTCTCTCTCTCTCTCTCTCTCTTCTCTCTCTCTCTCTTCTCCTCTCTCTCTCTCCTCTCTCTCTCTCTTCTCTCTCTCTCTCTCTCTCTCTCTCTCTCTCCTTCTCTTCTCTCTCTCTCTCCTCTCTCTCCTCTCTCTCTCTCTCTCTCTCTCTCTCTCTCTCTTCTCTCTCTCTCCTTCTCTCTCTTTCCTCTCTCTCCTTCTCTCTCTCCTCTTTCCTTCTCTTCTCCCTCTCCTCGTCTCTCCTTAGCTTAATCCTCTCCTCTCTCTCTCTGTCTCTTTCATCCCTCTCTCCATTCTCCTGTTTTTCTCTCCTTTCTCTCTCTCCTCTCTCTCTCTCTCCTTCTCTCCTTCTTTTCCTTCTCTGTTTATTTCTGGGTTAAATCTGGTGTGAAATTACCACTGATTAAGACTCTCTGGAGCACATGTCTCTTCCTCCTCCTCCTCTTCTTCCTCTTTTTCTTCCTTAAATCATTAAATCTTTCTATCTCCACGGAAACCAAACCAGACCGAGTTCCAGGTCAGATCTGTGGAGAGGCGACTCCGCTCACACAGCGGTTTATTTATTTGTTGGTTTCAACTCGTGTCAGAGACGTCAAACAGAAAACAAAAGGAGAAAAAAAAAGTATTTAGGTGTTTTTTTTTTTTTTTTGTTTTTTTTTTGCAGTAGTTCATCTTTGTGTGTTTTTTTCAATTATCTCATTATTGATTTCTTGAAATGATTCATTATTAATTATTAGGGCCGGGCGTGTTAACACGTTAATTTTGCGTTAACTACGCCGACAATTATTTTAATGCCATTAACGCAGATTTATTTATTTTTATTTTTTTATCATAAATGTCTGTTGCTCACTCGCTTTTATTTTGAAAATGTCCACCACGAGCTTTTCTTTAAGTTTGACGTTCTTTAAATTTTACACTTTTTTTTTTTTTTTTTTTTTTTGCAACGTGTCCAAGCCTCCGCGGGCTCCGAGCTCCGGTTCTTTTTTTTTCCGGTTCTTTCTCTGTCTTCTTCTTCTTCCCGACGTCCCTGAGGCGTCCAAATCGAAGTGTCCAGTGTGGTTTTCGTCGCTATTACAGGATATTCACAAAGGCCTGGAAAACGTCGTGATACGATCCCGCCCATAACTCAGTGAAATCTGATTGGCTCTGACAACTGTCAATCTCAAACTCTTCCCCACATTGACTCGAGTTGCTCGGGTCTTCGTTCCAGCCGCTGAACGTCCTGCAGGTGTTGGTTTAGTTCAGCGCTGCAGGAGGAGTCACCGATTTACCCAGTGATTGGTCCATTCCAGGCAGAGCAATGACGTATCCATAGAAACAAGCAGGTGATGGACCCTCAGCTGTAAAGTTACAGAGACTAAAGACTGACCCGTCTCTTTACACATGGACACAAAAGCGTGAGCACAGTTGTGTGTGTGTGTGTGTGTGTGT